GTTGGGTCTCTGTAAATGTTAAGTCAACAGTGACTAACATTTTCCTTTCCAATGAATCAGCTTTCAAATGATAAGTTCCTCAGGAGTTCAGCGCACGTGAAAAATTCTGTAACCCTGTTGAAAAACCTTTCTTTTCTACAATGTCCTGCCACTTCAAATGCAGTGATCAACACAAACAGCACTAACTTAAAATGGTTAGTTCACCACAGAGGTTATTTTTTGACAATAATCCAGAATCCAATGGAACAATCCCCTTGGCTTTAACTTGTGGGTTGAACTACAAAAATACAGGCTGCCATCCCACCAGCACTCTATAGCCATTTTATGTAAGGGACCTGAAAACGCCCTCCTCTGGTAGATGTGCTTGAACAATTAATTATTGATTAGATGTTCCGCTGGGTGCAAGATTATTACCTTCTGTGACATGTCACAATGATGTGGAGCATGAAAAATTATTTAAAGTGTCATTCAGAAATTTTACATAGTTTCACTGTCAGTCACTATCATTTAATCTGTTCAAAATGATAACATTTCAGTATCAGAGTATTTTCACATAAAATTATAAATGCCTACAACTGAACAGAAATGTACCTAATCATCACTACCAATTTGTGTGTAAACAGTGTTTAAGATATGTCCAATCATCAACATCAACATAACTGTGAGTCAACTTCTTTTTAATGCTCAACAACTGCCTCTTTGTTTTTAAACAGCGAGCAGGGACAAGATGTCAGCACTGGATTTTTGGCTTATCTCATTTCTAAAATGAGAGGCGTCACTGGCAAAGTTTCGTGCTCAGAAAGTAGCTGTCGTGTCTGTTCTGATTTAGAGGACGGTCTGAAATAAAAGCCTCCGCAGCCCTCTGATGTTAAACTGCTTGATGTGATGTGACATGTGTGCTGTGTGTGTCTTGCTGTGGGTGTGTATGTGAGTGCGATATGAGGTGGTATCCCTCTAGACAGAACATTTAACAGAGTTTAAGTTTCCGAAGAACTCAGATGACTCCTTCTGGAAGAGCTTTACTCTGAGATCTGAGCTGAAACCTTTATGAGGAGTGAAAATTAGTTATGGTGGTCTGCCAGGAGCAAGTGCCATATATTCAAGTTCATACCAGACTTAACAGTAGTTTTTCCACGCCAATAATTGTCTTTAAGATCACATTAAATCCCAAATTAAACCCTTTCCCCCTCCTCCTGTGTTCCTTCTCCATCCCTCTACACCTTCCTTTCTTTCCTGTCTCATCCCCATTCTTCCGATATATATACAACAGATTAAATCATCAGGGGGATCCAGTGGCTGACACAGCAAAATGAAGGCTGTTTAGTGTGTAAGGCATTATCTAGTCTAATAGCTCGTTTCAGTGGAAGGTTAAGAGGCAGAATGATTGGGATCAGAGCCAGATCAGCAAATTCCTCCCACTCTCAGATCACTGACAGCACATCACCAGTGGAATGTTGGTGTTTGCAAATTTGCCTTTGGTTCTAACTAATTTTATCATGGGATAATAGTCAGTTTACATATGTCTGATCTGGGGGATTTAAAATATATATATTTTTATTTTTTTTTACATCAGCTTGCTATTTCTCAGTCAGATTTGCCCTTTAGGCTATGGATCTGCATGTAGTTGATGACATATTTAGCAAGGTAGAGCAGTGACGAAATATCCATGATACTGTGTTGTCTTTATGCTTGAGCACTTGACTATTAATATTATTGAATATTATTGAACCGTAACCACCGTGATATGCATCGTATCAACAGATTCTTGCTAATAAAGGTATAAATAAGCTTGCCAATTCACTTTTCATTGAAGCTATGGCCATGACAATAAGGGTAACATCAGACTATGCTGATTTGCTCTTTAATAATTGCAACTGTAAAACTCTTAAGCCAAGGTTTGATTAATTTGATGCTGACTAAAACTAGACTAAACTGTTGTACTGAACTGACTAAAAATAAAAAGTATTAGGTTGACTAAATATGACTAAAACTAACTTTGACTTTTGATCTCGTAAATAAGACAAAGCTGATTCAATGAACACTTAATGACTCTGAACCTTAATTGATTCATATAGACCATGCTATTATCAGAAAGCTATAATCTGAGAATGCACTTCAAACTGGTGTAGTACAGTATTGTATCTGAAATGTCTGTAATGACTGAATTTACCTTTTTCAAGACTACAACTCCCTCTTGACTTTGGCCATTAGAGATGATGTCAAACATGTTGCCTTCATCTCCTGGTACAATGGCGTAATCCACCTCTGCATTGCTGCCTGCGTCCAGATCGTGGGCCCGGATCCGACCCACTGCTGAGCCAACTGACGCCAACTCTGGCACCCGCAGATGGAAAATACCTGATGGAATGATGAGGGAAAAAGAGCGAAAAAGCAATTAAGTACAATTCAAAAAAGAACATGTAGACTGATTCTTCACAGATGAACCAATCAGCGACTCATTCATCCATCCAAACAATCAACCAACCAATCAGACAGCATTGTTGAAACTTCCTTACTCTTAGCGAAGCGTGGTGGGTTGTCGTTGACATCACTAAGGGTGATGTTGATGGTGGTGGTGGAGGCCAGTCCCCCCAGCTGACCTCCCATGTCCTTGGCCTGGAGAAGAACCTGGTACTCCCCTTTCACTTCACGGTCCATGTTGGCTAGAGCTGTTCTGATCACTCCTGGAGTAGGAGGGGTTAAAAGGTGGTGCTCATTACGATGCTTAGCCCTCCATATAGAGAGATACAGACATATACACTAGGCTCTGGGTCTAACCTTCATTAGGCCAGCATATTACAGTAGAGTAGCCCTCAAATGATTAATTACCCCTAAGTTCCCCCTGCCTCTCTCTTAGCAGCATTTGATCAGGGCTGGACCAAAGTGGAGTTACAAATTCAGGCAAGGAAAGAGATGAAACACACCAGAGGAGAGGACAGAAAAATGTCCGAAGACCAGGTGAAGGACTTGTCAATTAGAGCAAAGCTTTCTCGACTTGATGAAGTGATTAGAAGTGCACAGTGGTGTGCTGAGCAGCTAATCAGACAAGAAAAAGTGAGTGTAAAGGTCCTGAAAACACATTTTCTCAATCAGCTTCTTCTTCCTTTCAGCGAGGTTCTACATAACACTATTTTCTGCCAAAGTTCAAACAGAGTTCATTATTTCCCACAAGAGGTTTTCTGTGTGTTTTGTTTTGTCTGTGCTCTGCTCAGTGATTTGAAGTAGACTCTGCTAAATCCTGATATAGCATAATTTCAGTGTAACCAAATCTGATGACAGTTGTGGAGTTGTCAATTAAATCTGATCAAACCAAACCCACACAGACCAGATGAATCATCAGAGAACTGTGCTGACGCTGAACTGCTGAGAGCAGTAGGTGTGTCTGCTGTGTTAATGTTATGTTTAATACTCACATACATACAGTGTATCATCAACTACTACTCCTGATTTTTGTTGTAATGTAAATACTGGAGATAAACGTGTGCATCTTTGCAACTGTATTTACCATTTAACCTGTCAGGGTCATTCATGTAACCTGATGAAGAGAGACAGAAAAGTAGCATAATACACACACACAATGTTTTCCCTCCAGTTTTTAATGACTAACCCACCCTAATTAGTTTCACCTTTGTGTGCACTTGTTCTTCTGTCACTTGCTGGTTTCTTTGTTCCTGGTAGTTTTGCCCCTGTGTTGCCCTGTTGTTGTTGTTTTTTTTCCCTTTGCCTGGAGCTGCCTGTAAGCGTAATTATTATAAGAAATCACTGAAGTCATCCTGCTCCCTGTGCTGTCTTGAATTTGGGTCAAATCCTAAGTGGACATGACCAATGTCACATTTCAACCACAGATGGTCTTCCTCAAGTAAACATGATTTTATCCTAATTAGTAGGGCTGTGTATTAGGAAGATTCTGGCAACAGGATACATATCACAATACAGGGGTTACAAGTCAATATATTGTGATATATTATGATACTACGCATCGTGATACATTTTGGTTTCATTTCATTTCTGGTATTTACTTTTTATCAGTATCATCAGAGTATAATATATCAATACCCGTACTCGTACATATACCAACTTTTATGTAAAAATACTTGTTCCGTAAATAGCTATTTCACTTGTGATCAAAAACGTTGCTCTGAAACTCAATCATGTAAATAGTTTTCTTATAATATATTTAGCAACTTCTGATCAACCCATATCACTTTATCTTGTATCTTTTCCTAAAACTAAGTTGTTTTTTTGCTTAATCCAAGCCAAACTGCAATTGTTACACAACATCAACCAGGCAAGCTTTATATTGAAAGGGTAACCAGACATTGCTAACTCGACATTGGAGCCCTGCACATCCAGAAATTATGCAAGTGGGGGCAATACACAATATTATCATGATTAAAAACAAGTTTCATTATGGGGATAATCGTTTATATCTGCACATGACTGTTAAAGTTGTCTAGCTCGCTTACATACGGTTCTATATTGACTTCAGGGGCGGCTGTGGTGCAGAGGCGGCAGAGCGGGTTGTCCCCCTTAATCGGGAACAAGGTGTTGTCTTTCGATCTCTGGCTCCTTTCCTGCCGACATGTCGAGTATCCTTGAGCAAGAACTGAACCCCGAATTGCTCCCGATGCTGTGCATCGGTGTATGAATGCATTAAGGTTTCTGTTCGGATGGACTTTGGGCATTACTGAGTGAATGTGTGTGAAAGGGTGAATTGCTGGCACGTAGTGTAAAAGCGCTTTGAGTTGGTCAGAAGACTAGAAAGGCACTATACAAAGTACAGTATTTACCATTTACCATTACTTTCTGATTTATTTTTAATTGCCACAAAGGGAAGCCCTCATCTCCCCCTAAACCTGTCACCATGGCTCAAAGGCTCAGTTGCCCCCACAAAAAAAGTTAAACCAGATATATGGAAATTGGATTTCACTGGATTCCAAACTAAAGAACGATGAAGAGATCAGGTATCTGTACAGCAAAATAAAAATAAAAATATGTTCAATGAAATGTAAAGTTATTTGTAGTATGTTTTAGTGCCGTTATAAGAGTTTTAAGTATATTTTGGTGGTTATAGTGACAAGACATATATTCTCATGCCTAGGGGTGCCTAAAGCGCCATTTTTGAAGCAGAGAGGGCCATTGACCAAGCTGCAGTATTCGACAGAGTGAGTTTCAACTGGAAAAGGAAACAGGTCACAGCTGCTTATGGCTTCCAACATTCCTCTGTTGGTTTGATATTTTCACCAGTAAAAACACCTTTAGTTTCGTGCCTTAATCTTAGATGAAGTGTGTACTGCATGCTGCTCCTCGGGGTGAAAATGAAACATGACACTCTATGTTAGGAGTAATTACCGGTCGGTTGAGGTGTCTGTTAAAAGACTGAAAATCTTTACGTCCTTCTCAGCGCTTAGTTTAGTATTCCGGTGCCGCACTGAGGAGAAACTCTCTCACAGAACCACTCGCTGTGTCATGACCAGTTGAATTTCATGCTTTCTAGGAGGCAGATGGGAGTGTGAGCTGTGGGTTCAAGCAAGAGTCACAGATCTGTCCTACAACTGCATGAACTCTTGGTTTGCTGAGGAAGCTGCAAGGGACACTGTAACATGAATATTGTCCTCTCACCTGTCTTGGGGTCCACGGAAAAGTACGGCTGGCCGTGAAGGATGCTGTAGACGATGCGTGCGCTGTTGCCATATGTGGGGTCATCTGCGTCACTGGCGGTCACCTGCGTTACATAGGTACCTGTACAAACACACACACACAACCGCGCAATATAGCTTTGTTAAAGAGTCATGTCTGAAATGCCTGTACAGAAAAATCTGTTATTTATCTTGTTATTTTTGAAAACCGCAGTTGTTTTTTTCTTCAAGTCAACAAGATGATTATCTTGTCATGAAGAAACAAAAAGTTACTGAGAGTTATTGTGACATATTTTAGAATATTAGCATGCACAGATGCTGTTGTCTTGTTGATGTAGTGAGTTCCTTTATTGATTATCAGTGCATCACAAATGGTATTAATGTGTTTTACATGGTGCATGCTGACATTAGCAGTTAGCTCAAAGCACTGCTTTCTTTCTCAGTTTGGCTGGGGGGCCAGCTCTAGGAAGAGTCCTGGTGGTTCCAAACTTCTTCCATTTACAGATGATGGAGGCAACTGTGCTCATTGGGACTTTCAAAGCTGCAGAACTTTTTCTGTACCCTTCCCCAGACCTGTGCCTCGAAACAATCCTGTCTCTGCGGTCTACAGACAATTCCTTGGACTTCATGGCTTGGTTTGTGCTCTGACATTGCTGTCAGCTGTTGGACATTTAGATAGACAGCTGTGTGCCTTTCCAAATAATGTCCAGTCAACTGAATTTACCACAGGTGGACTTTGTTTCAGCTTTGTCTGTCTGATTTGTCACTTTTGACAAATGTCCCATTGCATTATTAAAAAAGAAAAAAACATTCCTTTATTTTAGTTAAATCTATCTCTCAATTAATCTTAAAGGTCCAGTGTGCAACATTTAGAACGATCTATTGTTAGAAATGGAATATGATATTTATGGTATTAGGTTTAGTTTATTTCACTTCACGTCTTTGTCTGTTGTTCCTACAGTTTTGATTATTAACTGTATTAATTTACAGTAGTAACTTAAACCCAAACTGGATGGAAACAGATCAACAAATACATTTACACAATAGTAAGGGAGTATTTCTACAAAGTTCCACTGAGCTTAATAATCCATTAATGTCCACGCTAGAATTTTATAATTTCCTTTATAAAACTCTAAATATTAGCTGAACTAAGCACAAATCCACTGAATGAAACTATGAAACTAATAGAAACTCTTCTTACAAAATCAGTACAATTCCACATGGCAAGTACCCTCTAAAAAGTAATTCATAGACCTATTGTCAACAATTAATTAAATACATGGATGCGATAAACCTTTTGTTGTTGCAAACACTCAGATTTTTTAATTTTTATTTTTGTTGAGCCAAAAAAATTTGTTTTTAGAGTGAAACCGAACATCATGTGTATAATTGGTGGAGTGGCCCCTCGACACAAACATATAATGAACCTGTGTATATGAGGCTCATATTCAAAGCAGTTCTATGAGAAGTCAGCACCTGCACAGAAAACAGTGCAACCTGGAGCTTTGAAAACAGAAAACAGGGCTGCTGCTATTCTTAGCAGTCAACTTCTCATAGGATTATGTTTTTATCATATGGATACTTGTGCTGTTTGCTACCATAGCTAATCCGCCATACAGTTTGTTTCTGTATTTCAGTGCGACAGAGACAGACTGGGGTCAAGTGTGTGTTCTCTTGGAGCACTTTAGGCCTCAGCTGAAGCATTAACAGCTTAAGGCCTAAAGACCTTGACTGTTAAATTACCTCTCAGTAATGGTATTTAGCAGACAGATGGGCCACTAAGTCTGGCTTAGTGTGCTGTGTGTGTGTGCGTGCGTGTGTGTCTGTGTGTGCAGGAGTTACAACTTAATATGTCCAAGCAGAATGCAAAGTGAAACTTAAGATCTGAACAGAACAAATAAAAGCTTAGAAAATACAATTATCCATATGAATCTGAGTTAATGTTTAGTCCAACAAACCATAAACACAACAAATTAGTTTAGCTCCTCTCACCTTTGAACACTCATTAGGACAGTTACTTCACATTTCTTGACAAATGTACTTATAATAAATAATATGATTTAAAGCAACATTATCCAACTTTTCTAAAAAAAAAAAAAAAAAGAAATATGAATCTGGTAAAATAATAGGGGCAGTAAACGGGTAATATCCCTCTGTATCCACTCTTGTGCCCTGTACGCCAACCTTCATCACTGATTTTCGGTGAAACTGGATCATATTTTCATGGAGAAAATATTTATATTATATTTTTTTATTTTTTATATTAGTTTTCCCTCTCATGTCCTCCGACTGTTCCATCTCAACTCTCTGTGATGAGAATTTCCTGATGGACAAAAGTTAAGCTAGGCTAAGTTAACTGCTAACTGTAGCTTAGCTCAGTTAGCCAGACTGGGAGCT